GGAGCCGGCCCGCACAGGCTACAGCTCGGAGAAATGCACAGTGCTGGGAGTTCAATACCTCGCCAATAGAACAGCTAAATTCAGCACTGCTCTTCCTCCTCCAAAGGAACTGGCCCAGAGATAGTCCAGCTCTCCTGAGCATGCCACAGCAGCCACTGACTCTGGTCCCAGAGGCACAAACCTGCATTTTCCCCAAGATAGAAAAAAAGGATGAAATCAACAATTCCACATCATTGCTGACACAAAGCAAAAACTCCTTTAATTATAGAGTCCTGCCCAGGGCTCTCATTTAGTTTTGGTGTAGTACTCTAGTTACTCTACATTCAGATAGTTGCCTGTCTGACTCTGCCAACATCTGTTAGTGGGAGAAAGAGGACAGGAATAAAATATTCTGCAGGGTAAGAGGGATGGGAGAGGGATGAGATGCCTTTACTTCACAGTTTAATAACAGACACTGGACCATACTTGGGTTCTATGGCACAGACAAACCCAGGATTACATGGCAGGGCTCAGTCACCAGCTGAGGGCTGGGGTGGTGTGGGCACTAAGGTGCACAGTTCACAGCCTAAGTGGTTTTAAGTTCAAGGCCATAGCAGAAGCAACCCTGGCACAGCCTGTTAGATTCCAATGAAATCTGCAAATTCTGCTAAATACCTTGTCACAAAGATGTGCAAAAGGTAGTCTGCAACTCCTGCTGCTGCCTTCTCCTACTAATTTCAGGCTTTCAGCAGTGTCTGGTGCTTCTTTGTCAGCATCCACCCATCTTCTTCCCATCCTTCATTCTGGCTAGTTAAGGACAAAATCATGGCTGCCTTCTACACTCCCATCACAGATATCACTTAAAATCACAGTGTTGGAAGATACTCCAAGGGTCATCTAGTCCAGTGGTTCTCAACCTTTTTTGTACAAGGACCTGTTTGTAAACATTGATGGCTAGTCCTGACCCAATGCCCTTCACTCCTGACCCACTGCCCCCAGGCCCCAGCTCCTCAGTGTGTGGGGCAGGTGGTGGGGGGGTGTGAGGCATGAGGGCCCCAAGCAGCTCCTTGCCAGCTGGAGCTCTGCCAGCCTGCAAGGGAAAAGCCATGATTTCCCAAGTTTTTCTCCTTTAAAGGCAAATCAATTTTTTAAGTTTGTTGATCCATTTTTAAATGTCTGCAATCCTTTCATATATTCTTGCGACCCATTTTTGGGTCGCAACCTGCAGGTTGAAAAAAATGCTGATCTAGTCTAACCTCATGCACAGATGCAGAACTGGCTACAGTATTGCTAAACCATCCCAGCCAGGCGCTGATCCAACCTCTTCCTGAAAACCTCCAAGGAAAGATTTCAGTGTTTCCTTAGGCAGCCCGTTGCAGTGCCCAGATGTTCTGCCAGTTGGTTTCAAGTTACAGGGCTAAGGTGCTGATATTTGGTGGGATGTGGGGGTGTTAATCTAAACCACAAATAACAATATTGTAATGCAGTTCAGAGCAGTAGGTAGGTTACTGTGGATCCTGCAGTAGCAAAGCTTGTGGACAGGGGGAAGGCTTTGTAGACTTAGACCCAGCTAGTGCCCATTAATTTGGGTAATTTTTTTTCAGTTACACTGAACTCCAGAGGAGAATGAAGCAGGCAGGGATGTCCTTTATCTGTGCAGTGTAAGCCTGAGCACAAAAGTTTCATGTATTACACATGGCAGCAGTACACAGCCTGCTCAGATCACCCCAGGAAAAGGTCACTCGTGATTATTTCCTACTGCCCTTTCTGCATAACGGTAAGCACAGCCTCCTTTGTCCTCATGCTTTCTGTGCTTGTTCTCTGCATCAGTGTCTCAACCAACAGAGAACAAGTGCTATTAGTAAGATTGAGCTGTAAGAATATGCCAGAAAGGACACTGTTTGCACAACTTCCTTCGCTGGGAGTGACAGCACAGGAAACATTCTCATTATGACTCGACGATAGGACAAAGAAGGAGGCAACCAGAGGTTGTCTGCAAACACAGACTACTGCAAGCAGTTCTTAGAAGGAATAAAGGTAAATCAACTTACACCAATCTATGGCAGGCTGTCTCTCTGCAGAGCTCAGCACCCACCCCCCTAGCCCTCCCTCCCTGCCAGGCACAGGCTTTCTGATTGCTCCCTCTGCTCTTGTGACTTCCTGGGAGGAGCTTCAGGACAGCTGTTGGGCTAACAGCAGAAGAGAAGGAAAAGATCTATAAGGGTGAAAGGTAATTTGGGGTTCCAGTCTCGCAGTTGCCTATCTGGAAATTTCCAGTTTGTTTGCAACAATGGTCAAATGAGGAGCCCAGTCATGTTCAAAAGGGGCAAACAGTCTGAGTTCCTAAGTGCTTTAGCTACAGAGGGAGGAAAATGTCCTGGTGCAGTAGTAAGTGTGTCTACACGGGCACTTGTACCAGGATAACCCTAGCAGGTAATATTTCTGGTAGGACTAGAGCAAGAGATTCCCCTGTGTATGATGTAAGTCCTTGGTCACTTCTGAAAACAAGCCTTAAAAGCTTCTAAGTAACTTCAGTGCTTTTGAAAATAGCACTTCAGATGACTGATATTATGAGACTGGATAACAAGGCAAAGGAATGAAAGGCAAGGAATTTTTACTGGGCATTTCAGAAGTTAATTTTTTGGCTATGTATAATGTGATTTGCAGTGGAATCCTTGGATAGTGTCTCTCGTCAGGACCACATTTAGATGGTAGTCCAAAGAACTGGGATTTCACCAGGGGATAAGGGTTCATAATGATATGGGAATTATAATCCCTAACTTTAATTTGCCAGAAGGGCTGGAATCTAAAACAGACTCTGAAAGTGTTATTTGGGCCCAAGTCAGTCCCCTCTTTGCTTCTGTTTTCCATAAATACTAGGATCTCAAAATGTTTTACATGCATTGATGAATTGGGTCTTGCAACTTCCCTGGGAAGTAAATAATTACTCTTTCC